TTGAGATATTCGCAGAAATATACTTGTCATCTCGTATATCGTATTATTAATGTTTAGAATATGTTTATATTACAAATTTCTGTTCGTAAACAACCATAGATGAGACATTTCACGAGTCTGTTCTGTATTTACATTTTGATTTATATTTTGGTTTTGCACTTATATCTTTGTTTTCATTTATTGATCCATTAGTATTCATTGAAATAATCTATGACAAATTATAAAATAATGTTTGCAACGAAACGCAGTTGTACATTTTTAAATTTATATACTTTGTATATTATATATATATTTTTTAAATTTTAATCAAAGCAAGAAATTTTAAAAATACTAGTGTAGGTTGTCGGCCGCCATACAGCGCGGTTAATTTAGTATGTACAATAGATAGTCTTATCCAACTTATAAAATAAAATCCATAAAAGAAAACTTATAAAGTAAACCTATAAAATAAAAACTTATAAAGTAAATCTATAAAATAAAAATAAAAACTTATAAAGTAAATCTATAAAATAAAAATAAAAACTTATAAAGTAAACCTATAAAATAAAAATGAAAACTTATAAAGTAAACCTATAAAATAAAAATAAAAACTTATAAAATAAACCTATAAAATAAAAATAAAAACTTATAAAGTAAACCTATGAAATAAAAACGTATAAAGTAAACCTATGAAATAAAAACGTATAAAGTAAATCTATAAAATAAAATTTGTTATTGATATTAAAAATATTTTTTAATCAAGTGATCAAGTTATTGATCATTATTTTTAATGATCAGTTATTTTTAAAACGACATCGTTCGAATTTGTTAGAAATACTGTCCTTTCATGATTTTGAAATAATTTTAGAGAAACAAATGACTTAAAGAATCTGTAGAAAAAAATGATAATTTATTTTAAGATTATTGACCAAAATTCTAAATAATTAACTATATAACTATTAACTATATAACCTCGAATGCTCTATTACAAATCTAAAAATCGTTGAAATCGGTGATGAAACCGATGGAATCGGTTGAAATTCCTTAAAAAGTATAAATTATGTTTTCGTGGATATTTCGAAAACTAAGGCCGAACAACGATAACGTACAATATATAAAGTTGTTCGGAATGGCAATTAGGATAACATATTTCAAGGTCATCAAAATCGGTGAGAAATCCCGATATCAATAGTTATCAAACTTCCTACATATCTTTTTAGTATGTTCGAGTTTATTTCATAATTTATAATATTTCAGAAAACTTTTTTGTATCAATAATTGAATGTTTCGTTAAATTTGGTTTAACTTAAACGAATAGTAATTTTGATTTATCAGTATTATTAAATTAACATACGCCTTAAAATTTTTCTAACTCTTCTAATTATTTTATACATTGTCTCTTGTACTGAAATCTTTTGATTCGTCCTACGAATCGGAATGTTTTTTCATTAAACTCATTTTGATCAATGAATCAACAATTTCCCCCTTTTCCCTTTGAAGCACCATATAATTTATTCTTTCTTCGACATATGTATTTCATCCTTTATGACGAAATTACTTTCATTCACAATATAAAGCGTTATTGTTATTCTCCTCCTTCAAAAAAACTTTGAGAAAAATTAAAAGCGAAAAGAATCCAAAAAAAAAACACAAATTATCTAAACTTGTCTTCATTTATCTTCACTCGAAAAAAAAAATTAGGAAAATAAGGAAAGAAGAAAAAAACAGGAGGGTAACAAATTTTTGACTCTCGATCCTCATTTTTCTCTCTCGTGTTCAATGCCGTGTTTCGTTTATGTTTCACAGCACAATCAGCACATGTGTACACGTGGTGCAGTGTACACACTCGGCGGTTGAAAATGGGGCCGAGAGAATTTTGGCAGGATAGAACGAAAATTGCGGCCAGATCGCTTTTAAACCGAAATAAAGAGGCATTTTAATGCCTGTCCGTTCTTTTAGGTCACGATGAAAACAGCTGTTCGATAGGACACGTTGTTACTGTTATCCGCTACTGTTGCTGCCTAGTCTGTTTTCTAGAATCGCCTGTAACGACAGTCTCCTTTGTTCACTGACATCGTACCTTTCGATCTTTTGATTCTTTTCGCCGTGTTTTTTCCCGACGAAACAGACTTTCCTCGATATAGTGGCGCATTCTAGAGATACATGTAAAAAGCTTTGGATATGCTTATGTAAGGATTTACATATTGAAATGATTAAAAGACGGTTGACCTGTTTGCGAGGGAAATAAGGATTCGAATGATGCATTTCACAGAACGTTTTTCTTTCATATGGCTGATTAACGTTCATCTCGACCTCTTGCTAGTCTTTTACGTAAATACCAAGGCGTATTTCCTTTGTAGGTTGACGAGAATATTTTACTTCTCATGGAGATAGTAAAATTTGCGAGGAATTATAGAGTTATCGTTTGATCCAATTTTTCTTCTGACGATCGATTCAAACAAAGAGATAAGACTTCCATACTTCTTCACTTTCCTCTATTAAGAACTTCTTTAATAAAGAAAATTCAAATTTTCACCTATTTTTAAATGATTTAAAATTGAATGAGTTCGAAATATTTAGAATAATGAAAGAATCTATTTTCAGTGCTTTTAAAAATTGCGAGTAATCATCAAGAATCATTCATGTGCAATAGAAATTTAAAAAAAGGATACAAATGAAATAAGTTTTGCAGCAATAAAATTTGTAATTGCTATATCAATGTGAAATTTTTCAAAAAAATATTTTTAAATAGTTGTAAAGCTTGTTTACAAAGTTTACAAAATATTTGTAAATAATTCCAAAATTAGTTTACAAAAAGTAGTTATTATGTGATATATTATATAATATGTATATACACAAGATCGGCTATATTATGTATCTATAAATATGAAAAATTTTTATATCTCAAATTACTAATATAATTTATTATTAGATTGCGGATGTTTATGAACAAAGCTTATGAAACAATATGTAAAATGCATATGAAATTTATGTTTATAAAATAAGTGAATATGAATGACAAATATGTAAATATGCACGGAGAACATATAGAATTTGAGTAATATTATAATAAATTATTACAATATATATAAAAATTATTATTATATTATTAGTTATTACTATTATATATTGTAAATTATATAAATTATTATTATTATTATTATATCTAAATTATCATAATATATTAGTCTTGTCATATTTATAACACTCAGTTATTGATATTTATTAATCAATTACCATTAATGATATTAATTATTTATATTTATTAAACAGTTACCATTGACTGTTAATATTAAAATGCCGAGAAAGAATATATTGTATATTATACAAGTGTATATTTATCTATTATAAATCTATTGTAACATATTTATATATTATATATCTATTCTCCAATATTGTTCTGGCACATAATTTGATTATACCGATTTTTTCAATATCGTCATTTGTAATTAAATATGGTGAGGTAAACGTGAAAGAAACTTTAATTTCAATGAATACTATGATAAATATTATAACTCTTTTACACATTCGCTAATATAGGATTACAATTAAATTTAATAAAATTTATTTAATTGTCAATTATTTATATATAAAATCGAACATCGACATACAAAAAACGATATTACAACAACGAAAATTGCTTTTTTAATTACAGTTTTAATTCAACAGTTTACATTAAGTTTAATTATTTTACAGTTTTATATGTAAATATTAATATATAAAATTTAATTAAATACTGATGCACAAAAATCGATATTACAACAAGGAAAAATTATTTTACATATATATATATATATATATATATACTCGCGTTTCTTCGGTAGCAACAGAGTGTACGCCGAACATCGAGTGATGTTTTCAAAACTCTTAATTAAATTATCCACATGATGGAACGGAGAAATGAACAATTATGCAAAGAACGCCAAGAAACGGAGGGTTATTCAGCGATCGGTTCGAATTGGGTTAATTGTCTGACAATAGGGTTCGAATCAAACAGGATTTCCACGATCTGCATTATAACGCTCGTCCAACTCCGAATATTCCATCGCTGCAGTTACGGTCTCTCATCGAACGGACGGAGAGACTAGGGGGAGGATATATGTATCTTCAACTTAGCTCTACCCATCATGCAGAATCAATCGCATGACTTAATTATACTCGAGTGCCTTTGCCATCAAATGACTGACATGCAATTTTCATAGCCGTAGATATTTTTGATATTTACAAGCTTATTCTTTTATGAATTACGATCGTTTTGATACATAAAATTGATTCTCTTTCAATTGTTATTGATTGCAGGATTTTTCTTTATCGAAAGGCATAAACATTAACAAAAATAATATATGTAACATATTACATTAAATTGTAGAATAGTGTCATATTGTAGAGATTAAATATGAATAATATTTATTTAATAGCAATGCTGGGATTAATCAAGGTAACGAACACAGATTAACAACTAATACTCGCGGCCATAACTCAAATAAACTCTTTTTTACAACTCAATCGACGTTTTCTTACAATTCAAATCGACAACTCTATTTTCCATTCGCTCGAGTTTCTCCTTTTCAAACTGAAAAACGTCTCTTCTATCACAGCTATACTTTTTTTCTTTTCATGCATTCCTACGATCAGCAAACATTACAAGTTATCTAGTATAATTAAACGCTACTAAAAATATAATAACTACAACTACAGGTTGTAACTTAACAACGACCTACGATAATAATCTACGATACTACAATATTAAGGGATAATATAAGAATAATGTAATAATGCAATATATATTATATAAGGAATGTAATACAAAAATAATGTATTATATTAAACTGTAAATTGTTATATTATCTTATCTTTTTTAATGCAATGAAAAAGCTGAGTGTATAATACAATAGATAAATCGTCATAATATTAAATTGAACAGATAGTTAATATAAGTAGCTAATATGATAGAACAGTTTCAAATAAACGTCTAGTTTTAATTCAAGATTTTGTAGCAATAATTACAAGAAAGTACTTACAAGAAAGATGCGTAGGAGGTGATCAAGTTGGCGAGAGCCAGTAGGACTCGTTGCTTCATGATGTCTTGGGACCGATCCTCCCTCACAATATGTTCTGATTCGTTCATTAATTCGCTTGAAACGCCTAACGTTTTTAGATATCTATTTCTGAAATAAAATATTTATAAAAAACAATTGGTTTTTTAATGAAAATATATTCGAGTGTTATGCACGTACGATTGCATATATGTACAGAATCCCATCTATGTGTCCCACTTCAAACATCTTCGTTGTTTTTGGAGATATGAAAAAATTTTATTAATGGAAGTTATTCAGTACAAAGGAGGCTATGATATGGCAGTAATAATTTTTCTGTAGATTTCGGAGATTTAAACTCCAGTGTCACCTTTACTTTTTTATAATATCGATCCATTAATCAATGCAGCTCGACATATTCTATAAAAAATATTGGTTCATGTGTGTTGAAAAATTATTAGTTTAGGATATTTCAATCTCAATTCTATAAAATTTATGAAAGACAAGAGGAGTATGCTTCCATTCATAGTGTCCTTGTTTCCTATGTATAAATTTTATAAAACTGAAGTTAAAACATTTCCTTGTCAATTTATCGAACTGATCAATGGATGGAAAAACACATTCTTCTATTTAAAAAAATAGAGATAACATTGAAATTTTCACTTATAAAATATCATTAATACCATATTGTAGACATATTCTATAAAATCAAATTTTTATATTTTATTATTAGATTTATAATAATATCATAATATTAACTTCATATATATATATATATTTAATTTAATATTATTATTATTATTTTTAAAAAATATTTTTTATATATTATTATTAATTATTAAATACTTTTTTAATTAAATATATATTATTTATTTAAATAAATTTAAATTACAAAAATTATATCTAAATTAATTTAAATATATTTTGATATATTATTAACATTTATATATATAATTCATTTATATTATTACTAATTTCGGATTTTTATTTAATTAAAACAATTAAATTATATTTAATAAATATTGGATAACTTACGCATTAAATAACTTCCGTTAATGTAATTTTCTTTTCATTTCTTTAAAAACAGCGGAGTTATTTAAGATGGCAACATCCTTTCTATATATATAATATATCGTAATTTAAAATCTAATACGTAATATTAAATAAGATAAATCTTTATAATAAAAGATATATTGTACCAACAAAACAAAAAATATAAAATATATTGATATTCGATATAATTTCGCGCGTCGATTTTCGAATTATTGGTTGCAAAAAGTGTTGCAAAGATACTCCTCAATTAATTATGGAAATCTTATCTATTTTGTTCTTATAATTTCAAAGGGGAAATTTTTTATTTATGTGTCTTATTATGAATTCCGTTCTTGATTATTGTAAACAAGTAAGTGTTGACAAGCTGAAAAATGTAATATTAAATTATGTAGTTTTTCTTTTATTAACAAAACACTTTCCTCCAGAGAACACACTTTCTTTCGTTACGTTATAAACCTTTCATAGACATCAAAATTATGAATAATAATTATTTCACATAACATAATTAATTCTGTTCGATAATTTTATCTTATCTTTAACTAATCGTTCGTTCTTCGAAATTTAGATATTTCAAACGTGAGAAAATTTGTATGAATTATTCAAGATTACACCAAGAATATCACAATATTCCATCGCTTCTGATTCTAAGTGAATTTTTCTGCGTTGCAGACATGGAATCTCTTTAAAAACCTTTAAATCATTCTATTTCCCTCGTTCTATTTCCTTTCACGAAATTCGTCGTTCAAGTTGTGCATTGAACAATGATCCCACATCACGCTTGAATACGTGCATTCACGACCGAGGGAGAACACTTCAATTACGCGGTCGATCGACGATAATTAATACTATTCTGTAACTGCGGTTCGACGGACGTGCGGGTGCAGCCAATTGACGGCTGCAGAAAGGAATTGAATTAGCGAATTAATTCGTCTGCTTTTCCTTTGTAGCTATCATGGACATCGTTTAGAATCCTTTGGAACTTACTTAGGACACAAAACGGTGCTTTTCCACGGCGTTCACGTTGGAAAACGAGTAGGCCACAAATTCCAGCAAACAAGCCTCAACTGGCAAACACATCGTTCCACGAGGGTACATACACGAGTGCGAAAGCAACACGGAGAGAAAGGTACTTTCGAGGATACGTTTGACTTGCAATTCAGTTCACCGCGACATCCGTTGATAATCAGGTCGCTTTTCATTCGACGAAAACCTTTCATCATAGCCAATTCACGGAATCCTAGAGTGTATGTATCTTTGTCTAACGTGAAGCTTATAAACAACAATAATAATGGAATAAATTTTAAAAGTTATTAGGAAATTATTGAAAATTCATAAGAATTATCGTTTCGTTTAACAGTTTGGAGTGTACAAAACGTAAGCTTGGATGAGTGAACACAGGGAAAAAGTTATCATTGACGAGATGTTTTATTCTAAGTAGAGTATGACATGGTAATTGAAAGTCTTCTCGAATTGCACTCTCGCATTGAAAGACATTTCTTACATTGAAAGTCTCCTCGAAAAGGATACTTAAGCAATACTTAATAAATATATGTTAGTTTCGATATATGTATTGTTATTTTCTTCATTTTATTCGATGTTATGTTGATATTTTTATAATCTGACAGTGATTTCAAATCAGATACTAGATTTCCTTTCAATTTTTCTAAGTGTTTTGTTTAATATATTTTAATCTCTTTTTCAATGGGGACTAAATCAAAATAAAAAGAGTCGTTATTCAATTATTGATTCATTACTAATCTTTTTTACAACTATCGAAAATAAATTTCCTACACCATCTTCTCTAATCGATTAATTGATTCTTTGCTAGTAAACCATCAGGTATTCTTCGATTAATTGATTCTTTGCTAGTAAACCATCAGGATGCTTATGAACGAAGTATGTGCTTGAATAGTACGTGACAATGATCTCGATATTATGCTGAACATCAAAGAAAGATAACTGCAAGATCGGATTTAAAGATAATCACAGATTTGACGTTAAATCATTTGTGTTATAAAAGAATTTGCACTTAAGAAGGATAATTTGTACATAATAAATAATGACGAGTGTATTATTATTAATAGATAAAAATAGATCTTTTTTAATAATTATTATTAATATATATTAAAATATATATATTATTATAATAATTTATTAACCAACAACAACAATAATAATTAGTTTTACAGGTCATAGATTGTGCAATTGTTTGTGAAATAAAATAGTCGAAAGATGTATAATTTGTAAATTTCATTTTATTCATAGTCATCATAAAAATTCATATGTTTTATTATTATTAAACTTGGTAGTATTATGTAAAATTTCGAATTACACAAATCTTTTCAAAATTTACTTATAGGATTAGTTTTAAGAAAGCCTGCAGCTTGTCAAAGTACAACAGTTATTGAACAGATTTTTACATTACTATAGCAGATTATTGAAATATTCAAGATCATACAAGACATTTGCTGGCACTCAATGTTCTCCTCTCATACAAATTCTTGAAACATTCGTTTCTTTTGATGTACATTATTCCTCGTCTGCCCTATTTCAAATATTCTTCGTTCATATTGGCGTATTTACGACACATGCATACTCTAATTCATAATGAAAACGAGACTTTATCTTCTGAAGAACATTCTATACATACACATGTTAATTTCTAAAAATGTAAATGTCTTTATGATGTAAATGTCTTTATTTAGAGTGTCAATAATAAGCTTGTATTTTTGATATTGCGCTTATTATGTTGCTATAAAAATATATATACGAAATTGCTTTGATATAAAATATCATAAATAAATTTTATAATATGAAATATCATAAAATAAATTCTTTTTAAATAATTTTTTTTTATTATGAGAATGAATATGAAAGATACTAATATGTGTAATATCTATATATGTATATAATATATATACGAAAATATCTATATGTGTGGAGCATATATATGGAAATATCTATATATGTATATAAGTAATTCGCAAAATATAATTTTACGCAATAAATTTTGATTATTTTTGAAAAACAGAATTATGTCGAGTATGTAACATCCTTTTATGATGGCTTTGGTAAATTACATCACAATTTTTGCTAATATTATATATTGCAATATACCTACTGAAATTAGCAATGTTTGGTCATAGAATCGAAATAAAAAAATAAGAATAAAAGTGCCCAGCAACGTATTAGATTATATACTGTTGATTTCAGTAAAATTTGTTGTGTTTTAATTAAATTTGCAGTTTGGAAAAATGTCTACTTGCATGATTATAGTATCAATTATTTTGTTAATTATTATCTAACTATGACGGCACTGATTCGAAAACCTATGTTACTTTAAATCTTCAGGAAGTAAGTAAGCATTTTGCTATTTAATTTTTTAAAATTACTATTAGATGGTGGATTTCTATGCACTTATGAAAAACTTGAAAATTTAAGAATGCATTCAGTGCAAAAATATATAAAATATCAAGATACAATGATGTTATAATGCAATGATATATAACGATAAAAGTAACCTCTATTTAAATACCATCTTCTAATGCGTAAAACTTTAAATTTGCAACATTCGCAATCCAATAGGACAATCTTTTTCTTTTATAATTTTTACTGTTTGTATAATAATAAAAAAATATATACAATTTTAAAATATTTGAAAAACAATACGGATCAATAGTTCGATGAATATATACAGTGAAGAGCTGAATTAATAACGATTAAAAAACGTCGACAATTTAATCTGTTATAATTTTGTAAAAGAAAATCATATAACAATCTATTTGATCTCATATTAAAACTCAAGATCTCTATTTCCAAACATAATTTTGTATTATATAGCGAGTGAGAAAGTAAAGGTACTTTTTTTCGAAAACTATAAACTTTTCCATTCATTATATGATGTAAAATAATTTTTGAAAACTCAAAATTGTTGAAATAGAGGTTCTATGCTATGCTAAAATTTTGTATTATATAGCGAGTGAGAAAGTAAAGGTACTTTTTTTCGAAAACTATAAACTTTTCCATTCATTATATGATGTAAAATAATTTTTGAAAACTCAAAATTGTTGAAATAGAGGTTCTATGCTATGCTAAAATGAAATTAAGTGGATTGTTATATGATTTTCTTTTATGAAGTTCAAATTATCGATAATCTTTCATTGTTACTGATTCAATTACGTTCATCACTACGTGTATGTAAGTACACGTATACTTATTTATATATCTTATGTATTTATATGCAATCGATATACTGGTTAAATTTTATAATCCAAAAAGATAGATTTATTTTCATATTTTTATGGAATTTTCAGTAGTTAGCTTAACATTTATACTTTTTACATAGGTACGATATATAAAATATAACAAAATCAGATTAGAAGTTTCTACCATAACATACAAGAAATGAAAATTTTATGAATAGACTGCTTTTATGTATTTATATGTAACAAATTTGAAAATGTAAATATGCAATAATAATGAATATAATAATATTAAACAATAATATAAAATAATATGTAGACTATCCAAAATGTGGTGCTTTCTATAATATTTGATAGATAGAACAATTTTCTGTCGAAGTTCTTTTTTTAAATTAGATTCTCAAAAATGTGAATTTGTAATCCAATTGCGAATCACAGTAGGGCTTCGAAAAATTACAGGAACAAATATCAATATTGCAATGTTTGATCAATATTTATCAGCATTTTTATTTCTCTCGTAAATTTCTAAATTTGACTATTAGGTGACACGTTGCAATCACAATTATATCATAATAATCTACAGCATAGGTTAATATAAAAACAAAAATTCAACGATATGTTAATTGACTTAAAGAAGTTAAAATTAAATTTATAAATAATCAAAATTATAGAACTTGATGTAAAAGAATTGTTATTTAATTTAGAATTATTTACATTTAATATAGAAAATGACAGTGGAAAAGCTAGTAATTTTGTAAAATTTATTATATATTTCATTATTATATATTATCATATGTTATTGTTGTTGTTGTTCTTATTATTATTATTATAGTTATATGTGTATATGTATATATATATATACTATGTCTATCGTTTTTATGTGCAACATAGTTACATGAAGTTGGAAACAAATCAACCATGGTGTACGCGTCAAATCCACGGTTCATGAATCGTGTGCTTGATGCCGTGATACATCTATGCGAGGGAAAAGGATCTACCGCTCGAGATGTTCTTGACTTCCTTCGACAAACTTCCAAGAGTACGCCGAGAAATTTAACGATGCAGGTGACAGCTAAATGTAAATTATTAATTGCGTACAATTTTTAGTAATTCGACAATGTTAATCAAAATTCTTTGTCATATTACTGTCTCGTTTCTTTTTTAATATTAATTATGATCCTTCCACAATCTTAAAAGACGGCTTGATATGAGATACATTATATCATTATTAGATGTGCGACTTGATTCGTGGCCCTTACAGTTCACTAATTGTAATTTCAATTTATTTTTAAATTTTCTTTCTGCTGTAGTTGGTTTTCATTTTTATTAACATTTGGAATAAAAAAACATAGAACTTTTCTTACGAAACAGTACTAATTATGAGAACAATACGGCAATATAGTATAGTGTAGTGCACGTTTCAATTATTAATACACAAGCGGCAACAAAAGAAACGAGATACAAGGTGTTTCATTTAAGTGTGACTTCAATATATCTTTTTTACTTGCGAGAACGAAAAAAATATTTTACATTATATGCAATTTAAATAGTATTAAATAGATACGTAAATCAGGTCAAACAGTTCGAATTTCTGGAACATTTATCAGTGTTCTTATTATGTTATGAAAAATAAATTAAAAGATTTAAAAATATGTAGAATATTTGTGAAATTGTTCAATATCTACATACAAGCAAATTTTGAACAAAATTTTCTACATATTTCAACTAGAAGTTTAAAAATTAAAACGGAAGGAAAGCAATATCTTCGAATTTTAACAACCAAAATTTTTTAATTTATACGCAAAATTTTTAATGGAAATTATTTTACTTTTAATCGTTAAACCATTTTAAATTATGTTTTATTTAAGAATATGTTCGATTGAAACTTTTTAATTAAACAAAGAAATACTTATTAAGAGAAAAAACTTTCTTTGAATGAAAAATTCGAGGTGAAAAATTTTTGAGAAATTAATTCTCTGAATTTACAAGATTTGCATAATCACGCTGCAGATGGTTGTTAAATAATTTGGAGCGTTCTAAGAATCTTCGAATGTCTTTGATGATCCATCAGATGCTTCGAAGTTTGCATTCTTCCTAGAAGCAGCATTTTCCACCATTTTCTTCAATAACAGAATTTCCAAAGATTATAAGCTGAAATAAAGGACGCTTGCTATTTTTATTATATTATATTATAATCGAGAAATGTGGAAATTCAATTAAATTTTATAAATTATAATTTTAGAACAATTTTATGCTGTAAATTATGATGAAATTGACGTGCTAATAAAATTGCAACTCGATTGATGTCTTTTTGTATATTTTCTATGCTTTTTATTTCTTTCGATTTCTAAAAAAGAATGTTATGACCATTAGGAAATTATAATAATCTAATTGTTTTAATTAAAAGTATCATCCAAAAATTTACAATTACACAATTATTACGAATCGTTATTTTGAGAATCTGATACAAATTTTAATATATTGAAATGTTTAATGATTAATACAATTTTTATGAATTTGTGATAAAAATTTTGATTTTAAAATAATATTTTATCTTTAATCTTCGAATCGCCAAACCGATTATTTTTGTAAATTGTAAATAAACAGAAAAATCATAAATTTATAGAATATTTTCATTTTTTTCTTATATAATGTAAACGTTACTAGGTGATATTTGGTATTTTTAATACCAATATGGGTCAAAGGTAACTTAGACTACAACATTTCGGCTGTTCAGAGGTTAAAGATATGATAGAGGAATCAAAAGGAAAAATTGCATTAGGAAAAAGAACGTAAAAATAAAGTAAATTGTATTTATTATTACTTTATTATATTTTTTGTCATCTATTTTTTTTACTAATTCTAGAAAAAGAATTGAAGATTTACGATACTATACAAGATGTATTATACGTATAAATACCGATATCAACAAAAGTAGATAAAGTTGCCTAACATAAGATCTATTTCGTAAAGAAATTACAATTCTTAAGGTATACTTTTATTAAAATTAACATAATATTTTACTTTATATTAAAAAGAATACTTTTATTAAAATAAACAGTAAGGATTTTATTAAAATTCTTTTGCAACCTACTGAAGAGTAAAGTACGTATAGTAAAAACGATTCGGTTTCTTTATAATAAAACAAAAATGAAAATTTTATAAATACACAGATAAAATGGAATAGATTCGTAACATAAGATTCAGTTTGTTTATTCTTGAAATTTATTTTTTTCTATCTGTTTTCATACATAGTGCGTATAAAATCTATTTCTAATTTTTATTTCAGTGTTTTCGCCTTTCAGAGTAATCTATTTAAAACAAAATTTATTGTTAGTTGAACAAAAATTCGATAATATGAAAATTTCATAATAAAAATTTCCGAAGATTTTGTATATTTTTAAAAACAACAATATGATAACTATTAAATATAATAACTATTAAATAGCTTCGAGATTAAATTTGTATTATTTAATAAATTGAATATTGAATGATACAACAACTAGTTAATAACTCCATTGCACACACTATATAACAGTATTTATGTATTTATATAATTGTTATTTTATAACGATTATATGTATACTTGTAATTTAATTCAACCATTTCAAAAATGATCTCCTAATATATTTCACAAATATGTATTTAGTTAAAACGCTTAGTTTCAGTGTCAAATAAAAGAGAATAAACGTTTAATTATACATGAAAATAATATTACTATTTTATATAACATTTAAAAGTTCTGTAATTAAAATAAATTCAAGTCTCGTATTACGTTACTAAAGAAAATCTCGTATTAGGCAACTTCCCCCTTCATTCTTGTTTTAACCTCTGATATTTACAGTACTTGAACTCTTAATTATAAAACACGAGAATGAAAGATCGAAACCTTCCCATTTGCCGCTTCTCACCGAAAAAAGCTTTCAGGTTCATCGGGCTTTGAAGCACGCGGTGAATGCTGGATTGTTGCGGCATAGAAGTGGTCGTTACAAGGCAGTGTTCACGTTAAATCCAGCTCCGATTAAACAGCCCGTGAACGAGAATAACGAACAGAAATCCGTCGATGAAATGAACACTTTCGGCAAGCAACAAACGTCTTCGAAAAGTCAATCCAGCGACAAAGAAGAAAATAGGTTAATGCTTTATTTATTAATTACGATGTTTTACGATATCCTATATTTTACAAGCTCGAGCGAAAAATGTTGTATTTTCTTTCCTTTTTCGAAATATTGGTTTTGTTTCTACTGCTAGGTAATTTTCTTGTTTTCTTGTTACATTCGACTTTTCTGTTTTTGTTACATTCAAAACACCATATTACACATTTAAAGAATTGATACATTATGCGAATGTTTATGCGTTAAAACGTGCAAAAATAGAATAAAATGTGTAAAATGAAAAAAACTATATAAATTTGCTACAATATTCAGAGGATGGAACAAATCTTTTTTTAGCCCTATTTTAAGTCATATTTTTTTAGTTGTCCTAAAGAAAACGTAAATTTGCATAAACAATTTAACCGCAATTAATAACTGTAATCCGGATCTCTCAATTACTATTTTCACATTATTAACTTATGTTAAACAATTAAATTGAATCGAAATGAAGAGTTTTCAATAATTTTCTAATTTAATTTTTTGATATTTTTTCGGGATTATAAAACTTACACGCTATCGTCTTTTTCTGCTTATGAAACATTGATGACTTTTTTTCTACTGTTTGATTTTATAGGAAATTATAAAAATAAAAAATAGTCATTAAAGTTATTGAGCTGCGATCGATATTTACTCATATGGGTATTATATATGACATTGCATATATTGCATATATTGCAAAATTATTGTTAAGCAATTCACGATAGAAAAAAAAAGTCTTAACTCAAGTCTTGAAGAGCAGACCGTTTTGGTTATTTGAAAACAATTAGTGGAATGTTAACTAATTCTTCAAAACTAAATCAATTAAATAGTTTAATGAGCATCTAAGATCTTCAGAAATATCTGTCAATCAATTTTATGTCAAAAGACACTTGTTAGTTGGCTTTATCAATACGTTTCTATCTTATCTGTTAATGATCTCACAAAGTTCTTAAAAAGGCAATAAATAAAGTAAGATTATTTTGATCAATATATTTCTAAGCAGGAAATTGACAGATTCTTTTTGTTTTTGGAACAATTCAAATACAAGGGTTTTGTTTGTCAATTTTTATAGAAAGAAGTATCATACTTAGGAACACTTTTTAAATAGTGGAACAGATATTTTAGAGAACAGAAATTATTTTAGAACATTTAATTAAAAATCCATTTTTATATTCGAACACCATTCGTTGAATAATATTTAGTGTCGGTATTTGTTGCAAATATTGAGAACCTTTTTAATGCTGATGAACAAATTTTTATTTTTATATTTTATGAATTCTATTCTGTCTGAGACTTTTATTTTTAAGAATATTTTAGTTTATTTATCTATTCTCATCGGAACTTGTAACGGTAAAAATGTAAGAACGTTTCTTGAAAAAGTTCTATGATCCATGTTTCAAATAGAATCTATTTAAAAGTTCCTCAACTTTTTCGATTTCTGTTTCTACCGTGTTAGAATGAATGAACGAATAATATTACGAGGCGTAACGATCATGAGCGATCTTTTACCTGAGATTATCACACGAGTCGATTTTTTATCAAGATCAATGGTGTTTCACGGTTCGTTAAATGCCCTATAGACGACGAGATTTACCTCACGACATGCTTTGTGACTAGCTTTTAGATTAGACTATGAATCTCGTGGCCAGGTTTCACCTGAAACCATGAGACCATTTTTAAGGTTTTAATCCATTTAAAAAGCAAATGTTTCACTATGAGACGGACTGTAATATGAAAAATTACATCTTCAAAAGAACATTTGCTTTCGATACAGTAACAGAGCTCATGCCGCAATTCTCAATATTGTAAATTAAAGTCTTTGAAACATCTTATGAAATTAAATAAAATATTCTGCCATTGTTTGCCTTTAAATTATATGTTCTTTAAAACTTTAAACATCGCTATTTCAAATCTTCGATATATGATATCAAAATGTAAGTAGCAAATGTTTTGACATTACAATGTTTTCCTTGTACGATCGAATCAAATTTGAAATGAAATAAAATTACTTCTCAATTATTTATAAATGATTAAAAGAACTTTTTGGCGTTTTGTGCCACAATTCTTTTAATAATTTCATTTGAATACAATTTTAGTAAACAGAATACTTCAATATGAATTAGCACTTGAATATCTCAGTTATTTTTGAAAAAACTTTACAAAACAAAAGTTGTTCAGTATAGAAAGATATAGAATGATATAGAATGATAATTTTTTTGTAGCTGTAATTATTTTTTTTAAATGTAATTATATTGATATTTATCATATATCTTTTAATCCATTAATCGATACAGTTCAATATTCTCTATAAAAAAAAATATTAACCTGTATATGTCGGAAAATTATTAATTTAAAAAGTATTTCAAATTCAATTTTGCAAAATTTATCATGTGAAAGACAGGAACGATATTCTATTTCATGCAATAAGTTTTATAAAGTTAAGGTTAAAATATCTTCAAAATTAATCATTTTTCGACACACAGGTCGAGTTGATATAATATATAATTTCATTTAAAAATCTCCGAAATCTTTCCGGTGACAAAAATATTATTACTGTCACATTGCAGACCAATTGTTCTACGAACAATTTTTATTAACAAAGTTTTTTTATGTCTTCAAAAACAACAGAAATATTCAAATATCAATTCTTATTGAACCACCCTGTATTTAATATAATTTAATTTAATTTTTATAATTTTAATTTCATTTCAATTGATAGAACAATTGTTGCAATAGTTGCAATCTTTTTATGAAGATATATTCTTAAATTTTATTTTGCTATTTTTAACGCTATGCTAGCTATTTCAGAGAATGTACTGATTGTGAGAGGCAATGAGAATGCCTTATGATTTTACGTGAAATTCGGTCGCAAGGCATGTTACGCAGAAAATCTCATCGTTTGTACGACGCTTCACTCGGTTCGTGTGGACGCTGTAGATGTACATGTAGATGCCATAGCTGCTTTTTGCGGTAACTACTAATTCGTTTGCTCGCCCTGCATATCTTATTTAAAACTCGATCGAGGCAATTACCTGTTCTGACAGCTATCGGTTGCGATAGCTTTGCAAGGAAGCCTCGCAGAGTCTGTAAATATATATAATATTCAAAAATCTTAAGAGAAGTATTCTATATTTGTTTCAAAATTGGAAGAATCGAAAATTAAACTATCTACCAGGACTATTAAATTAGATAATATTTTATAGAAGAATCTGTCAAGTGTTAATATTTTAACAATTATATTACATGCAGTTAGAAAATTTTATTATTCATTTTTGAGCAGGAATATATACTGAAATTTTCTACTAATATTATTTTTGAATGTTGTTAGTTTGGAAATAACGCAGGTACAAATACAAATTTCCCTTATTCCCATTGAATGCAATTGGGAAACATCATCGTCTACAATAAGTACTAAAGCATAGGAAAAGGAAAAACTAATTTCTTTGCACCCTCAAGTTTCCAAAAAATGTAAAAAAATCTTTGCTGTATTATACAATCACTTTTTAAATTAAATCCTCAGGAAGAATAGAAGTTTGCTTAAAAAAATTTACGAATAAAATTTCATTAGGACGTTAACGATCTACTTTGGAGGATTAACAATAAAAAGTATCATAGGATTTCTAAACGAAAGTGTACATAGCTTTAAGATTATAAAGTTCAAGATTATATCAAGTATGTTAATTAGTTATTTATGGACTGTTGTAATGTCCTTGATGGACGACTAAAAATGCTCATATGATTCCTGTAAATTTAATTATTCTCACGTCGTGTTTAAATGATTCCGCTGATTTTTCCTGATTATTGAGACATACTTACAATTGGAAATAATTGAAATTAATTACTAATAATGGATTTGATTGTTCAAGTGATTTACATTCTTTCCCACTGATAAGAGATATAATTTTGATTTGTAATCAGTGATCGCGCGCTAAATTGTAAGATGTTTTTGCGAAACTCAAGCGATGATCGATCGTAAGTAAGGCTCATGCGAGGACGCACATACGTATGGTGCATTTGCGTGCAAAGAATCAGACAGTGCGAGACTTTCTCACGAATTAATTTCAACTATCTCAAATGAAGCTGCCTCGTATTATATAGAATATTCAAAACGAACGAAATATCTAATGTTATCGCTGCTGTAGCGTTTACACGAAGCAAATGATGTATCTTGTTTTCGATTTAGGTGAAAGACTGATGAACATTGACTATGTCTTGCTTTGTTTATACATATACGTATATTCCTTTAAATTGAATAGCATGTATCCTCTTTAGTGCACTTTGAGGAGTAGAGATTGGGAGCTACTTTATGTATTTACAGACAGTGCAAAGTTTTTTGCAAGAAATCAAAGATGCCTTGAGATGTATTACTCGCTTTGTGTGGATAGCAACAGTTGCAGTAGATTCCTCACTTGTTTGCCTTGCACAAACTGTTTAAAACAGCTATCAGTTAAGACTGCCTCCCCAGAAAATCTGGCACTGTCTGTATATAATTTTAAATGAACATAAAATGTTGAAGCAATTAGGTAAATGCAATTTCTTCAATGATCTCTAACTGGGCAATATGATACAATGCGGTGTGATCCATTCATTAAAGAGACGAAATTCTGAGATCGTGGGAAGACCTCGGATATAAAATTTTTAGTGGCGGATCTTTTCTAATTTCTGAGATATTAATAAAAAACTTTAGGTACAATGAATCTTGTCTATGCCGACGTTACCAATCCAAACCTGTATTAATCAGCGTTGTATGATTGTTGTTATTATACTCATTGCCAATAACTATCGAATAACCGATGACATAATAGCGATACTATTCTTAGTTTCTATAAAGTGTTGTACCTAAAATATAACATTGACAGATTTTACTAAAAATAGCGATACTATTCTTAGTTTCTATAAAGTGTTGTACCTAAAATCTAACATTGACAGATTTTATTAAAAATATCTTATAGATAATGGGTGTCCGGTTATCTGACGGCAGCCAAATTAAAATACCAAAAATAATCCAACACAATCCCAGTACAGGTCAAACTGACAGCGAATCTAATTAGATGTTAGTGACATTTGTGTAGACAAAATTTAATGTATTGTACTGCAGAGATTAAATATAAGGAATATATATATTTAATAATGGTTATACAGATGATTAAACAAATAACGGACAGGACAAGGTAACGAATACAAGTTAATCTACAACTAATCGATTCAAGACAACTCCTTTTCACGACTCAAGCAACTTTGTTTCCGATTCAGTCAACTCTGTTTCACCACTCGATCGATTCTATATGAATTTTGATTATGATCTGCACTGTCTTACGGCTTCCTACTCTCTCTGAAATCTTACCCTCGAAAGTTTTATTAATATCTCAGAAAACCAATAAAGATCCGCAGCTAAAATTTTATATTCAGAATCCTTTTAAAATTTCGTTTTATTCTGATGAATAGATCACACCAAATTACAGCGCTAGACAAATTTCGCAAGGTTCCTTAAATAATAATTCTTCGGAAATACCAAATTTATGAATAACATTTTTTTAGGTATTTAGTTGAGTTAGTATAAGAGAAATTATTATCGAGTTTGAACATTTTCGTATAATGGCAATCTCTCTGATACCATCTTTTAAGTTTCATAAATTATCGCACTTTTCGATAGCATCTTTTTCTGATTAGAGAGCGAAAACTATGGAGGGTATCTAATACGATATTTTTGTAAATGTTTCATAATGTTTCATAATGAATTTGTAATTAATTCATCGTAAAAACACTGAATTAAGTTTTACTCTTAACAAGCTGGACCTATATACAGAGGTGGACGAAAATAATCGCAACACTCGAAAAAATTCTTTGTGTTTTGAGCTGGCCCCATTTTAAAGTCTCCATTTTAACAGCTCTATATTAGTTTTTTTCAAACAGGTTTTTACATCATGCAACAAAGGGGAGAGCAAGGACGTTTGTGTCTTTTGAAAAATACAAAAAATATTGAAAAATTAAATTCAACTGTCTCCGAAAGAATTAAAAAACTTTTTTCGTAATCGAATGTATAATAAAATTAAAGTCTTCTCTTAAAACTTGTATTACAACACTTCTTTTGCCGTTTTATTAAATTTTGAACGTTAGAATTAAATAGGAAAATGTTAGGATTTTTTAATTTTCCTCATTTCTGATATTCGAGATTCAATATAATGGCGAAAAAAATCGTACAATAAGTGTTGAGGAGTTGATGTAAAAGAAAAAACTTTAATCCTAGAGATTATGGTAGATCTAGTCATAAAAAAAATTTGCTATAATTTCGTTTAAAGACGTTTAAATTTTTATAGTTTTCGACAGCATAGACATTTTTGCTTGGTATCCGCTGCATGATGTAAAAACATCTTTGGAAAAGAAGAACTCAAGATTGGTAGAAGTTTTACGTTTTAAAACAAGGTCAATTGGATTGTGATACGATTTTGTTTTATGAAGTTTAAACGATTTAAAACAATGATAATTTTTCATCAAGTGTGCAAATATTTTTGTATATGTCGTGATATTATCAACGTTGGGAATATTAGAACAGTAGGTGCATTAAGTTATATAAATTAAAAAAATTTGATGAAGGAAATTTGTTAATATCAATAATTAACTAAAAAATATTCATTTTTACATAGTAATATCTTAAATAAATTAATTTCGTCAGTCATATTGACTTTAGTGAATCAAGCCAAATAAATGTATAATTGAATGCACAACACAAACACAAAAAATATTCTAGATGACTAAAACTTTTGGCCAATATTTAATCCTATTTTGTTCCAGCTCTCTACGATTCTCCATGTGAGACTATAATTTACTTAATATAGTTACTTAAATATAGTTACGGATAATATAGTTACGTAAGTTCTTGTCTGTTTAAAACTATGTTAAACGTAAATGTCACGTCGAAGAGAATATCAACTTCTCTTTTTACTTTACTTCTCTTTTTACTAACTGTTAAATTGGCATGATTGTCCGAGATTAGTCCGTTTAATTTTAAATATGTACTTTCTATAGAGAAGATTCCTTTAAACTAAATATCTATTAAATATCATATTGTATTATAGACCTTTATATAACTAACTATTATAGAACTTACATCTGCGTATAGATGAATTAGTATACGTATATATAAATTCCTTCAAAATGCATATTATGATGTTTAATTTGTGTCTTATATTTTAAATAAATCCACGATATACGTAATAGACATATTAATTTTTTTGGTTAGTTTTATCGACATATAGATCAGAGCATTCTTTACTTTAATATAGAAGAAAATATGCAGATGAACATTTAAATATTTTATCTATATAATTAATTATAATCCATGTCATAAAAAATGTAAAAAGTATATTATATACAATGCATACATTCTGCGTAACGAAATATTTCAAAATTATAATTCTAATTTCTAAATAACGGATACGTATTTAATTTTTTATAAAAAATAAAATTAAATTAAAGAATTGTACACAAATAATTAGAAGAGATTATGTTACTTAAGAGTTTAAAAATTTATAAATATAATGTCATGTTATTTAAACAATATTTTAATTCAGGTTTCTACTTCATTTATTGATTTGTTGTATTAATCTTATCGAAAATTTTATATTTGGAAATTAATTAAGATAATATAATCGGAAATTTTATTACATTAGATTAGTAATTTCTAGTTAGTGGTACATCTAATTCATGATGATAATTTAAACAAAAAAATTATGTTTCAAGATTAATATATTTTTATTTATACAAACTTGTTTTTGCGAGAAGTAACAAAGAGACGAAATTTTTTGTTTTTCAACTAATGTATTTAATTTATAAACAGGATTTATTGAATTATCATGAAATTATATTTAAGATATGATATATTTGTTACGTTTTACAAAAATATTTAATTATTCTAAAGACAAGGAAGAAGCAGAAGATTTATTGAAAATTCAATAAAGAATGAAGAATATTTTTAAATTAGCAGTCAAACGATAGCTTACCATTTTCTTTATAGTCAATTATTAAAAAAGCTTTCATACAAGCTATTTCTAAAACTATAATGAAATAATTATTTTAATATATTTGTAGCATATATTAATATCCACACATTTTCATATTTTTGCAGTCGTTAACATAATTAAAACAATCAAAATATTTTTATTATGATTGGTCATTTCATGAGTATCATAAGCATGTCCGAACGTATCTTTTCATGAACTACGTGATGGAATAGAACAAAATACACGTTTCCTACATAAAAAATGCCAATGAATCTTGAAAAAACATTAAACAATATTTTTACGATATTTTTAAAAATATAGTTCTTCCATTTGATTCGTCTCTCCAATCAGTTTTAAATTACGTCAGGAACGATTCGTATTATCAGAGAAGATACTGAGGTGGCCTGGTTTTTGTGAAACACCCTGTATAATAAAACCGTTGATGTAATTCAATAAATTTTTATATAATAAATAATAGAATTACATAGATCGAATTGTTGGAATAAAGTGTTAAATCATAATGTTCTGTTAGGCAAACTACAACTACGCTTATTATCAAGATGTTGCAATTCAATTACTGTCGAACTGCTCGTAGAGTATTTGAAAATTCTACATTAAATATTTATCGACTATTTGTGGAATAGTATTTACAACGAAATACAGTTCTTAAAACAATAATTAGTTATAATGATAGGATTAATAAAAATACTTTTAGTTTCAATAGTTTCTCGTGATGTTTGGATATTATCTCGTGTATAATAATAAAAAAAATTGAATAATTAATTCCTCTTTGATGAAATAAAGCAAAAGAATAATAAAAAAGGCAAAAAACAATGAAAAAATAAAATAGGAAAGAATAATTTTCACTAGTTTCGAATGACAAACTTTGTATGAATTTATAATTGATTAATTGTTTTACCTGTTGCTCCATAAAATTTTTTTCCTTTATCTGAAAAACATGTTTCATTAATATATCATTATAGATTTTAAAGTATTGTATTCCAAAGAATACGTCTTTCTTCCAAATATTCAGGAAACATATCGTCGAAATGAAATTTGTAGTATGTTATGAGAGATGTGTATGGCGTGACAGGACCTCAAATATAAAACTTCAACTTCGGGAATTTATTCATTCGAAAGAAAATCTAGATCTTATGATTTTAGATAAAGGAAGACTGACAGCGATACGAAATTAGACTAAAATAACGTAGTGATAGCGTTTTCTGGCCACGGCCGGAAATCTCTTTAATTTAAGCCAATATCGATTCATATATGTCTTTATCCTCTCTTCATTACACTGTTTTTATCTAATTTTCGTATTTCTATTACAGAAGATTTTATAGATTATTGTTTTCTAAGAAGATATCAAATATATGTTTCTTGCTTTTACAAAAAAGTACGTCTTTTTTTTTTTTGCAAGATTTTATAGATTTTAAAGTATTGTATTCTAAAACATGTTAAATAGATATACATAGATCTCAGGTTCTCTAATTTTTATATCTCTATTTACAGATTATATAGATTTAAGAAAATATGAAGTAGTTCATTTTTTTATCTTTACAGAAGAGAATATTTTATCTTTCTATAGAAAATGATTATAGCTATTTTCGCATTAATTTCATTGAATGTTGTTGAATTCCTAACATTTCTTTTAAATCTCCACAGGCAAATCTTTTTTTACGTTTTAATCTATCGATTGGTTTATCGAATTTAAGAAATCAGGAATATTTATCAAAATCTTAACGAAATTATACAATTGTTAAGTTATTTGAATATTTAATGCAGGAGGTCACATTACGAAAGGAGACAAAAACGCAGCCATAGTCGTCAGAGAAAACGAAAACGTCGCAGTGAATCCAGAAAGCGCGACGAGCTCAAGGATATCGATAAAATACGGAAATTGAAGTACAAAGAAAAAAGGGAAAGTGTTTGGTCACCACAACACAAGATCTCCAATAGCAAGATTGAAACAGATATCGGGAACACATCAGACTTACCTAATCGTAAAAGAACCAGGACGAAACGGAGGGATTCGAGCAACTACAGCGATTTGTCGGATTACAGCGACTATGAGGATAGAAAGGTTAAAGGTAAAAATTATATGTAATTCTATTTACAAATAAGTTGACCTATGAGTGTTACTAAGCATGTTAAATTGACGATAAATTTAAAAAAATCATGAAAACAAAATTGTTGATGCTAGAATACAATGAAAAGTTACTAAATTAATAACAATGAAAAACAATTTAAACTTTATAAAATAAAGATATAAATGTTTACGACTTTATAAAACATAGTCCTGTAACAATCTACTTAATTTTATTTTAAAGCATAAAAACTGTACTTTGACAGTCTTGAACTCATTTTCTCTCAAAGATGATTTTATAATGAGTAAGGAAGTGAGAATGTAAAATTGTACAAATTCAAACATTATTGAAAACATTGAAAAATATTTTTGGTAATTAGATCCATCGTTTTGAAAAATGGAGTCCTCTCTTTACAACGAGTTCTTAAATCTTTCTATATAATTTTTTTTCAGTATTTTATTGAACTTCAAATGTTAAAATTAAACGATAAAACTTCAAAAAATTTTGTCATTTAATTCTAATGTTCAAAGTTGAATAAAATAGTGAAAAATTATCATACAGTAGATTTCAAAGAGGAGGTTTTAGTCTTCAAGATTTTGGCGAATCTAGTCACGAAAACATTTTTTTAAAACGTTTCAAACGTTTTTAGAGACGCTTGAATTTTATAATTTTTGAGAAAAAAGTATTTTTACCTTTCCACTGACTACATGTAAAATCATCTTTGGAAAAAACGAATTCGAGATTGTGAAAGTAAAGATTAAGCTTTAAAATAAGATCATCATTATCATATAACGATCGTTGATTTTCTTGTATATAATAATCGTATGATTTTCTTGTACGAGGTTATAACAATCCAAATTATCGACAATTTTTCATTGTTATTAGTTCGTAATTATGCTCTTCACTATAACTGATGGTTAAACATAATTAGTAAACTTTACATGTTTCATATTTTTACTGTTTTGCATATTGTGGTTTGTAAACGTAAATCGTATTTTATATAGAATTATGGATTGTACATATTAATCAATGTGTCACTTTTTAAAATCTATCTTCGATTTTTTAAACTTCGACTTTTGATTTCATCAACTTTTTAACAAACCTTTATTGTTAATTATGACACGTAAATTATTTATATGCAGAGTATTTTAAGATTTAGTAGCCAAACTTTGTATACTGTATGGGTAAAATATAATCAAGTAAAACATATTATATATATAAAATATTTATGGATAATATGTATATATATTATATGTATAAATACAGTCAGGGACAAAAGTAAGTAGACAGATGACGAAAAAGAATATCAGTGAAATTTAATCAATATAGCATTGTAATTATATATTTAAGCTTCATTTAACATTTATTCTTATAATATATAGATTATTTGAATAACAATTAAAAGTAATATTTATAGTCGGTGCAAACCCAAATTAGGTTTAAACAAAAAAAAATCAACCAATTACGGAAAGACAAAAGTAAATGGATACTACCAATAACTGCTAATTAATTTGTATGTAATGCAATTACGTCCTCTAGTCGTCGCGGCATACTGTTTTTAAGATTTTCTATATAATCTTTGTCAATACTGTCAAAAGCTGATTTTAAATTATTAAAAAAGTCCATTAAGTTAAAAGTCCATTTTCTTTCGCTTGTCCAAAGGAAGTTTGTCCAATACATATCACAAATTCTTTATCGGATTCAAGTCAGGACTTTTATAGTCCTGAAGTATAAAATATCGAAAAGTGCGGTGGAAAAAATATGAAAAAAATATTTAGTACATAATACTGTAGAGAATTTAAGACGCTGTGGACGAAAACGTTGTATTAACTATACAAGAAAACCGTCGAATTGTTCGAGAATGTCGACGAGAGCCAACAATCTCCTCACGACAGATTTTGAATGCAATAGGATTAGATGTGTCGAGAAAAACTATAAAACGAAGGTTGCACAAAGTGGGACTAAAATCTTGTAGAGCAAGGCGTATACTTATTAATAAAAAGAACATGAAGAAACGTTTAGCTATGTTAATGTGCCTATATCGTAAAAAGATAGTATGGTTTGATGAATCAAAATTTGAGATGCTGAGAATCAAAATTTTGAGATAAATTTAATAATTAATTAAATAAAACAATAGCATACAATATGTAAATTGATTTCGCTTCCATGAAGAAGCGATATTACTGTTCCATTAACCCAAGAGTTGATGAGCAATTTCTATTTTTAGAGAATTTTTATAGAACTTTTTGCAAGCTTTGAAATTTATATTTCAAGAGAAATATCTTATAGGTATCTATATACACTTTTTTCTAAATTTTATATTGGCGAAAGTACAATAAAATTATAATCTATAATGTTATCAAAGTGATGCCAAAGAAGTGCAAAGAATATTTAAAATAAACGAATTTCAATATAGAGTATGTTAACTTACAATAATTAGCGTTACAGATTAAGAAAATTTTTATTATCAAATTAGATAGATATTTATATAGCAGCTATATATATTTTGTATAGAAAAAATATTTTTAGAAAGCTTTTATACAATTTAAAATCTCAATAGAAATTTTTAAGTGATTGCAAAAATTGTTTGATAAATAAAAAAATCTAGTTTAACCCGATAGATCGATCTTTCTTTTGGTTATGTGAAATGCTTTCAAATATTAAATTTGAATTTTTATTGTATTATTTTTATTTTTTGTTTTTTATAATTCTACAATGAAGCCACTTTACAATAATAAATTCACTAAAGATTTAATGCTCTATTATAAATTACAGTAATATCAATAATGTTATTATACTATATTTTGAAATACAAATATTTTGAAAAGTAATACTACCTTTTTAAAATAGTTAGAATAATAAAGTTTAGAAAAAATTTGTCTCAAATGAATAACTAATAACAGTAATATTTAATGTCAATTAATATTGTTATTTTTCTTATACTTGAATTTGTATTATATTATATTACCAATTTAGAATAAATTGATTCATGGGATCATATTTGTAGCAATATTTAATATTAAATAATATTATCATTAATATTATTATTCTATCAGTGTTCTAATTTTTATTATGCTTTTACTTTTCAATTTCATATAAATTTAGTAGAAATAAAAATTACTAAACGATGCATAAATTAATATCTTCTACATAGAAGATATTCTATGTGGAATATATTTTCTTTGATAAATCAAATTTTAACTTAAATAATTATATACGTTTTATACGTTTGTTACTACGTGATATATATATAGAATTAAATTTCATATCAATATTTTAATAACTGAAGTCAAAACTGCTACTTGTTATTGATTTATATATACAAATTGATCTCTAAATTATCAAATAATCTCTAAAAGAGCTATTCTTATGTATTAATGATTCTTTTTTTACTTTATCAAGAAAAATGTAAAAAAATGTAAAAAAAATTTACCACAATTTGTTAGTAGCAATTGTATGTGAAAAATAATAATAATAAAATTATATTTTCTATTCAAATACATTTTAATTATTGTCAATTGAAGCATATTATAGAATTTTTAATTACTATATAGTTATTATAATAATTATTATTATAAATTATTAAAATCAGTTCATTTTTAAGATGACATTATTGTAAACAATGAATTTATATTTCGTGTTTTATGAAAACAATACATTTTTTCAAATATTTTCAAATTTTATATTTTCAAATATAACATTTAATAAAAAGAAAATGTAAAATTCTCAAGGCAATTTATTCAATTTACTATTTTTTATGGACTTTTGTTAAATTCATTCATCAGACATCAATTATATATTTTTGAACATTTTGTACTTTGTATGATTTGTCGTAAATAAATATTACTCAAATGGATAAACTTATGGATCGACTTATTTTTACAGAATCACATCAATCTATAATTCTCCATTTTTTTGTAGAATCACAGCAGTAATAGTTATACCACGATTTCGGAAACACCGATTCTTATTAATATTCGGACATCATGCTATTCAAAATGTTGTTGTGGACTTCGATTGTCTATAATAAATTTGAATTAATTTTTTAATAATATATTAGAACATTCGTTATAGTTTATAGTAACATAAATTTTGTTTATTTATTGCACATACTTTTCTTAATATCAAAGAATAAACTGAATTATGTCGAAATGTAGCATGGCAAAAATATTCGGACATTTGAAGAACTATAATATTCGAACCTAAAAATATAACATATTATGTTTAGTCAACATAAACAATAATTAATATTTTGTTGGTTAGCCCTTAACTTCAATTACATATCGCAGACGTTTAAGCATTATTTCCAGTAATTTTTTTAAGTAATTTAGCGGAATATTCTTCCATTCTTCGAGTAATCGTTGTTTTAACTCCTCTTTCGATTTTATTGGCGTTGTTTGAATTTTCCTGTCTAAAAAATCCCATACGTTCTCGATGGGATTTAAGTTCGGTGACTGTGGTGGCGGATGTAATATTTGAGTACAATTATATAGCAGATATTCTTTATGCTTGGAGTCGTTATCTTGATAATATTTAAATGTGCGTTGAACATCGATTGTGGTTGCACTTTTCTTAAGATTTTGTTGCAAAATATTAAGATACTTGTTTTTATTTAAAATTTCTTCTGCCCAATTCGTTTTGATGAATAGCACCCCCATACCATAACACTTCCACCGCCGTGTTTTATCGTTGGATTTAAATTTATACAATTTAGCGCTTCATTTACGCCATACTAATTTACGTCCATCGCTGCTAAATATGTTAAATTTACTTTCATCGGCGAAAATTACATCAGTCCATCAAGTTCTTCTTTATGAACATATTGATTTGCAAAAATTAATCTCTTCTTACGATTCGTCTTGTTTATGTACGGTTTCTCACTCTACCATTATATCCAGCTAATTTCAACATCCGGCGGATTGTACCTGCATGAACTTTCTTTCCTGTCTCTTGAAATACTTTTAAAATTAACTTAGGAGCACTTAAACTAGAATTCAGTTTTATTTTTCTTAGAATAATGCGTTTGTCTCGGTCGTTAAGTTTTCGTGGCCGACCTTCCTGAGAAATTGATTCAATTCAGTCTTCATCATTGTATCTCCGTACAATATCAGCCACGGTACTCTTACTTAATGAAGATGACCGATTTCTCGATACATTTCTCCTTTTTCTCGGTGAAAAATAACGAAAACAACGATTAACTGAAGAATGGAAGAATATTCCGCTAAATTACTTAAAAAAAAAATTACTGGAAATATACCAAAGTGTCTGCGATATGTAATTGAGGTTAAGGGCTATCCAACAAATTATTAATTATTGTTTATGTTAACAATTTTCAGGTTCGAATGTTATAGTTCTTCAAACGTCCGAATATTTTTGCCACGCTACATTTCGACACGATTCAATTTATTGTTTGATATTAAGAAAAGTATGTGCAATAAATAAACAAAATTTATGTTACTATAAATTATAATGAATGTTCTAATATATTATTAAAAAATTAATCCAAACTTATTATAGACAATCGAAGTCCACAACAATATTTTGAATAGCATGAATATTAATAAGAGTCACTTTATATAATATCTGATTTAATTTAGAAAGATTTATAGAGAATGCATTTTGTTTTGACATCACTGCAATACAAATTCTGACGATTACGTAAAAGTACGCACAAATTATTTTGCAGTAAGGAGGAGGAATTCGACATATCAGGATTCCAAACACGACGAATCTGGAAAACAAAACAGAAAATCGATTTCACCGCATCATAGCCCACAAAGACAACAATCCCAGCAATTAAGCATGAAATATTCCAACAATGACGATAAAGGAAGTAAACTGAATGTCAACGATGGAAAGAACGACGAAGTTCAAGACGGAGAGAATGAACACGAGCCTAATAATAGTGGAAGTGGTAGCATATTGTGAACTTATGTCGATTTATGTCATGAGAATTATTTGTAAATGAATTTTCTTTCATGTCTTATTATACAAAATTTTTCATGATGACTCATACTTCTTGTCAATCTCTTTATGACTGTGTTTTAAAATATATTATTTTAGTAAATAAATTTGCAAAAAAGCGATATTATTAGTAAACTGCGAACTTTCGTGCAAACTTACATTCTTCTAAACATTAACAAAAGAAGTAAGAGTTGAATAAAAGTGTGTCTTAGCTTCCAAATTATATTTTATGTTAACATATAGCGTTTGTGTGTTTATCATTCTGTGTACAACCATAATTAATTGGCTACATTTCTAGAAATTTACTAAACGTATAATATGTAAAAAAGTTAAAGTCTAAATCTTAAATTTATTATATATGCCGCCTATTATATGAAAATAATAAATAATATAATAATATAAGTAAAAGTCATGAACCCAGAGAGAATTAAATTTCGAGAAAATATGAGATCAAAAGAATTTGAATTAGGGTATCTCGAGTTTGAAAAAATTAAACTAAAATTGAAACATAGCGAGAACAAAAATGCTGTAGGATTTGAATCAGACCAAAAAATTCTACAATCAGGAAACTATAATTATTTTAAAATTCTGAATGTAAAATCTAAATCTTTTTACGTTGTCATATCCGCATATCTAGGAATTTAAATCTACAAATTGGGAAAGTAGCCTATTCTCAAAAATATTCAAATAGAATTCAAATAGAACATACACACGTGACATTCTGAAATCGAGTCAGGTTAGGTTCAAATCGAGGATTCAAGGACACGAATTTGAACAAACGTTAACTGATTGAGATACAGGGCCAAAATTCTAATTTGGAGTCAAGAGATCTTTTCGAGAAATATATAATCGAAATAGCTAAAGACTTTAAACTTTTAACTGCGCTACTTAGATAATTAATAATTTTAATAATTATAATTCTACTTACTTTAGAATTCCAATTAATCTTTGTGTTCCTAAACCTCAAAATGTTTCAGCTTAGGTTTTGGATTATCCAAACTATTGCGATTCTTAAGTTACGAAAATGTAAAGTATTTTAATGTTAGGTTTTGAGATCTCAAGTCAATCCAATCTAAATTTTCGAAATTATGGTTCATCAATCCAAATGTGTCTTTATTTCTAAATGTTCCTCATTTTATATGAGATATTTTAAGCATGATTATGTTTTATTTCAAAATAATAGAGATTGTTATATACGTATCTCAATTTCTGCACATTTTCATCTGAAGTGAATCCGACAATGAGTTGATTTTTTTGTTTTCATATGATATTTATGGTTGTATGAAGTATAAATATGTACTCCGATATTCTAAGAATATGACAATAGATTTTAGCAGAGGAATGTAAAGTAAAATAATAAAAGCAAAATAAAAATATATTAAATAATAAAATAACAATAATGACTCTCACAGTAATTTTTGATCCTTTTTAAAATTTTTTCTCTTCAATTATCTCTTTCATAACTCTTGTTCTCTTGATTTATGCGTTTCATTTTTTTTTTTTTTTTAATCATATGAGCTTTTGTAAACTTTATATAACACTTTTACCATGTGCAAATAAATCTCTATACACACAAATGTAACATATTCTCTAAACTACTTTTCATTCGTAATCGATATTCTAGCAGGAACTGTTCATCACTCGTCATCTATAAAATGTTAGATTTTACATCAGAAAAGGAAAGCTTATCTATAATATGGATTGTATCATCATGACGTATCATCTTTCAAAAGAATATTTCTAACTCAATAGTAGTGGAGAAGCCTCGAAGCAAAACATTTTTCAATGTAATCGAATGGCTAAAGCTTTCTGGTGTTTATCGGTTTAGCCATTGGCGCTTTCCTTACTGTAGAACTTCGATATGAGTGGTTTCCAATACATACCTTTTCTCTTATGTACATGAATGTCTCGCTAGTTCTTCAAAGTATTTTTATATATATATAGTTTTTTTGCAAAATTAGGAAAAAATTAATCAGCAATTAACGTTTAAATTTTTTTAATAATCTTTAATGATTACATTTCAACGTTAATTATAAATAACCATTGGAAAGCCAATCCATAATTTCAGTCGCGTGGCGAGAGTTTATATTAAATAGTTCCTAAGCCATAATTGATATTCTGCATTTTGTAATTCAAGCCTAGATTAGTTAATAGGATCTGTACGATAAGCGGTGAAGTGGGGGTGAATGTGTGAATAAGATTTGTAAGACCAAGTTCCTTTTCTTGGCCATAGAGACCGAAAATAAAGTTTATATATATATAAATAACTATTGAATTAAATACCTTTTAATCGTTAATTAAATTCTTAATAACGATTAAATTCTTTTCAATTTTATCCCATCAATTGGATAACTTATCAACAATTAACTTTCTTTTAACGAAATTTTTTTTTATTGAAGAATTAATATTTTTCATGTGTTCTGTTGCGGCTGAGACACCTTGTAATAATGTGTAGAGAGATGATTTTGGCACAATTTCGAGATAATCAGATAATTTTACTTCCAATACAAAACTTAATACATTGAAATTTTTTACAGTAGATGATAATGGATTTGACAATAATGGATGACGATGAATTTTTCTATAATATCCAAAAATAAAGAATGTATGTCAGATACATATAATACACCTTTTAAGTTTTTGTAAAAAATCTTTTTTCCTTCACAATAATCACTAATTTATCAAAATTCTCAAAATTATCAAATTCAAAGGAAAGAGTAATTCTAAAAGAACAATTCTAAATATGAAACAATAAAGACTTAAAATAACAATAAATGAAAATATCTGTGAATATTAACCTCTTAAAAGTAACTATTCTTCTATATAATATATTTCTGCTGTTTTTCTATATCTCTCTCGTTTTATTACAATTTCAAAGTATAGTCTAAAAATATTTAAATGAAATTATAATCAAATTTAATGTAATAACTAACAATTGGTGATTGATGATTAACGTTATTAATTAATTAAATTAATCATTGATTTTTCGGCTGAATTTTCTTTAATCAACGATTAATGATTAATTAATGATTAATTAATGATTAATTCTATTAATCGATTAAATAAATCACCGAAAAATCGGCAATTAATTTTATTAATCGTAACCACTAATCATTCAATCAAATTAAACATTTTAATCGATCAATGCCCAATTTCGTGCTAAAGCAATTTACGGTCATGTATTTTGAAGTGCAATTTGATTTCACTATTGAAAACTATTAATAATGTCGTATGGAATTTTTTCTGACAAATCAATTTCAATGTTGTTATAATATTTTACTGATTGAGATTTACATGTACTTGTGTATTTTTAGTAGTAATTATTGGGAAGACTTCGACTTTGATTCTGTATATCAGTCAAATTTACATCAATGTAATGAATAATGTAAAATATTTGTCGTTACTAATGACTAGTATTTTAATCTAAATTAATCATTTAAAATTAAACAATGCACTTCAAATTAATCAATTAAAATCGATTTAAAAGAGAAATAGTATAGAAGTTATAATGAATTATTTAATAATAATATTAATAATATTATTTAATATTATATACGATTAAATTATTAAAATAAAGATTATTTTACTATAGCATAAGTACTAAAGCAAAAGTACTAAAAATAAAATTACTATAGCAAAGTACTAAAAATGAAAATTATACTAAAGTGAATTAAAGATTTGACTTAAGTAAATTGCATGTATTATTTCTACGACTCATTTACAATTTTATAATGTACTTCGTTTCTGTATGTTATTACATTTTAGTTTAGTAAATATAATCTGAAGTAGAAAATGTGATCTACGATTCTTTTTCCGAAATTATATATATTGCATAGTCATATCAAACAAAGTTTATAATCAAACTATTCATACATTAATACTACAAAGAAAACAAATTTGAGTATTTTAAGTTCTAAAACTTCAATTATTTGTAATTATATTGCACAAGTATTTACAGACATTATAAAAGTTTTTAATATCCTCATTACAATCACTCAGACATCATCTCTTCATAAAGCTTTAATTTCTAACCGGAAAATATAGGTCAAAGAATAAAATTTTTCAAGCCAAACAATGTGCCACCCGAAACTCACGGCTTTGATTAAACCAATTCAACCAGATATTCATACAAAAATTGATATTTATATATCACGTATATCTATAGAAATCATTTCTCTCACTATTACGCGAAACCATGTTTAAAATCATACAGAGTGTTTTGGTATTTATGGTATTTATTTAATAGAAGCCACATATGAAAGCTAGGAATTAAATTTACGCATACAATTAATTATTAATTTTTACAACTTCAAATACAGTACACTTACAAATACTAATGTATTTACACTAACATTTATAATTAGTTAATATTATTTCTGTATCATTAATAGATATAAAATATACGTTCTCGTTTAAGTGTCTCAGGATATTTTTTATTTCCAATATATTCAATATTTGTTGTAAATAATACAATCGAAACCGTCGATGTTACAACAAAAAGTAATCATCTGTGTATTTAAGTTAACTCAGATACATATATCTGTGTATACATATATTTGTTATTACATACATATGTGTATAGAAGTATTCGTATACTCGATGAAAAATTACTAATGTTTTAAACTGTTTAAATCTCGTGAAATAAAATCATACATTAATCCAATTGGATTCATTTTAAAGTATTCTACTATACCAATCTATACTTCTTCTTTTCCAAAGCTATTTCTACATCATCTAATAGGTGAAAAAGCAAAGATATTTCGTTATCTATAAAAACTGTAAACATTCAAATGTTTTTAAAATCACTGAAAATATATTTTTTCTAGATCTGCTAGATCTACTAAATCTTGAACATCGAAATCTTTCCTTTACAATGTAAAGTTTATACCAACCCCTCAAATATATTGAATCTTGACCATCAGAGTTAAATGACAAAAATTCAAAGAATCCGGACGTTTTGCCATTTATCATAGCTTGCATTATCATGCCAAAAAATCATAGAGCAAGTTCTAAAAAATCATTGTAAGATTTTAATCTTCGAT